ATTCTGTACCACGTGTTCTTTTGAGGTCAGTTACAAGAAATATTCTCTCACATGTAGCATACAATACAGGAGGAAACTAGGTGTAGCACCTGCTTCATTGCATTAACCATAACCGATTGTAGCTTACCTAGCAGTTCCCAAGTATCATGATACTTGGGATCAAAACTTGGGTCTCAGGCAGACAAAACTTGGAAGCACTGCAGAGACAACACACCTGGATTTGCCTTTCATTTTCTATTGACCCCTTCTCCTGCAAACATAGACTGTGTGAACCTAAGCGTCCAGAGGTCTCTCTCAAAGCTTTCCAAACCCATCTTTTCTCATCTGATGGTGAATAGGAGATTATGCTCCTGACCTAGGAAGAGTGAACAACATTCCACACAGGAATAGTCATCAGCAGTATTTTTAATTAGGCTATGTTTGATAGAATGGGACATCACCCCCTTCCCCAGTTGCTTCTGCAGTGTTTGGAGTGTTCAGATTTCCCATGTGGCACAGCAAAGCAGCATGACCACTGGGACAAACCTAAAACTGCTCTGATGTCTGTAGTTCTTTGAACTGACTTCTTTAATGTGGGGCTATTCTGCAGCTTGCTCATCCAAATTTAATTTGAATTATCAAAAAACACTGCATGGAGCCACAGCTGTGGCATGGGGCTCTTGTACTGTTGCATTGCTCTGCCAGAACAGTTGTAAACTGCATTTGTCTCACCTTATGTTCCTGAGATTCTCAGGTTCGAGAATATTCTGACAACTCTGTACACTGTCCATTAAACCAAATATATTTGTCTGTTACAGGAACCAGTAGAGATATATTAGGAAAAAGTTGTAGCCTGTAAGCAGATCAGTGATTCTACATCCATTTTAGGTATGTGTTGGACAGCTGGGCAGTTGCTTACAGTGAAACATGGTGTAATAGTATCATTTTCTGAAGTAGGTGCTGGTGGCTGCTCTGAATTCTCCGTTAGTGAAATATGAAGAGCCTATATAGAAAAACTGCAAATTTAATTGCTGGAAAATATATTGTGCACAATCTTGTGAGACGAGTTCAACAGTCACAATCATCAGTAGGAATTTTTCAGATCTAAGCAGATTATCAAAACTCCCTAAAGCATCAGTGAAGCTTGGCCTCCCTTATATGCTGGGCTGACATGATATAAATCCTTTCCACCTCATCCCCATATGTCATTTTAGTTTATTTCTAAATACAGATCTGCACTGCAATGCTCAACTTGCTCACTCAAAGATGTCACTTAGTAATGAGCTGGTAACTCTATGCTCTTGGCACACAAACTCATATGGATAGGCATTTACTGCTCTGACCTACGACGTGCAGGATAGTGTATGCTGAAATAAGAAAGAACTATATGTGAGAGTCTGTATCTCAGGTCCCTGGAAGACATTGTACTTAGGATGCAATTAACCCTTTTTATCACACATTCAGGGAATTAATGGAACAACAAAATAAGAAACCAGCCAAAAAATGTTCCACAAAATATGGGGAGCATTTTTGTGGTTGGTTTCCATCAAGCTGTAAATTGAAAGTATGGCAGGGTAGCTCTGCCTTGTAGTCTATATGTTTGGTTCTGGCTGACAGCCATGGGCAGCACTGCATAGGGCTGTACCTACAGCTTTTAATGTGATGAAGCACAGGGAGCTCATCAGCTGGGCCAGTGTGCCAGGTTACAGTGAGCTTGTCTTGCCCTGTAGTTGCCACAGGGCTCATCCTGAGGGAGCTGTGGGGCAAGGTAAACATCATGGGGCAAATCAAGCACCCTGCTGGTTCATGGTGAGCCACAGGGCTCACCAGAACCTGGCACTCGAACATGCCTTACTCTATAGCTCCTTCAAGAGCTGGGAGACACCCAGCACCATGCTGGGTGTCACTGAACTGCAGTGCTCACTTTGAAAAGGAACTGGAATGCGCCTTGATCTATTGTTCTGAGGAGCAATGGGGCCAGGCAGCCAGCCATCTGGGTTTGTTGGTGCCCAGCTGGGCTGACAGGCACAGGGGAGGGTTAAATTGTCTGGCGAGGGGAGCCCTTGTGCTATCTTGGGCAAGTACCTTACTGTTCCCAAGTGGGTTGCAAGGTTTCTGTTACAATAACGATGCAATTGGCAGAGCAGTAAATGCCAACAATCGTATGTTCTGCCACACAAGTGTGGCATAGCAGGATGCACAGCTGTTGGGACTAGGGATAAGATCCCATAGTGCCTTTATTATAACATGGCTGGGGACCTTATTCTCAGTCTTTATTTATGTTACCTTCAGGTGGGCTTTTATCGGTGAAGATATGCTGTAGTAATGGGCATGGGGCATCTCCTGCCATTTTCTTTATCAAATGTCTATGTGGCCCTACAATCAGGCCTTAGTCCCAGAAGGGCATAAGAACAAGAGACTGGAAACTCTACAGGTGGGAAGGGAATCATCTCAATGAACCTTTGTTACATTTCATCAGAAAGGTCAATCTTCTCAATGCTCCCCAGGTGTCCCCTCTAACATACCACTAGATCCTGTTTAAAAATTCCAAAGGATAAATTAAAAACTTGCAACACTGACATATAAAATGTACCTTGAGATGGACCTGCCTGCCTACCTAGGTTATATTTAGCTACCACCACCTAAGCACCTGGGAGCTCATGGATTCAAAGTTTTTCTGAATCACATTCTTGCTCGGTACAGTTCCCTGTCATGCTACTTAATAGTAGTGTGCAAGACGACCCAGTTCAGAGATGCCTTGTACAGCCAGTTTTGCTTTTTCAAACAGCTTCTTATAAATGCTTAAGCAAATTCAGAGAAAAAGAAACTCATGGATAATATATGGTCCAAAGACAGCTAGTTTTCCTATAAGTTTTAGGTTACCATCCCCAGGGCACTGACAGGAAAGACTACCACTCCCTGAGTGACAGTGAAAATTAAAGGGCCGTGAACACTAAAGTCTCACAATATGTCAGCTTTACAGAGACACTGTTTCAAATAACTTTGGGCTTTGTGTACTGTTATTAAAACAGCTTTTTCTTTCCCATTAATTCCTTACTGAACAACACTATAAAGCCTGCATTTTGAACACTGGTTTAAGTCCTTTTAATGGGTTATAAGTGTGAATTTTATTTCCCTATTTGTTCATTTATACTTAAAAATTGGGGACAGATTGGCAATACCTTATTTAGATATTATAGCTCTTCATACAAGAGCACCCAGCAGCCATATTCAAATCCAGAGAAAATTCTCAAGAGAGGATATTAAGATATTTGCCTCATTTCTGCATTGGAGAGTTTTCTATTGTGACTTGGTGGTTTACTGTCAATATACATGTCTACAGCAATAAGTACCTTAAATTATTTATGAGTGCATATATGAACATATGAGTGAACAGGATGCATGGAAAGGCAGTGGTATGAAGTGGGGCTGAAGCTGGCTCTGTGCCTATTATTTGTTTGCTCTCCCATGCCACCTCCCACACACCCATTCAATCAATCATAAATATGTATGTGGCCCTGCTGCCACAAGTACTAAAAACCACGGAGAGACTCTAATGGTCTTTCAATGCACAGTAACAGCAACACTGTGGTGTGTAATTTGTGTCATAATAAATATCAGAAATACTCAGGCATTTGATCTACCTAAAACATAACCATTGGGATATACAAGGACAAAAGTTAACAGACATTTGGAGTAGAAAAGGGCAGAGGTGCTGAAACATGCTCCTGAAAAGCTGTATGTTCTAAACTAAGCCCCAAAATGAAGTTTCCCTCTGTGAAATATGTAAATGCAAACATAACCTAGTTTTGTTTTTGTCAAAATTGGCTGAGGTTTTTTAAAAGCCCCCAAATGGAGACAGAATAAAATATTCTTTGTGAAACATTTTCTGCAAAAACCTTTTGATGGAAAAAATTTCTACCAGCTGTAGTGAGCACTCTGGAAAGCACAACGCACGAACTGGGAGCCTTTTGAAAGGTCAGCAAATAGCCAAGCACTATTAGATATATAGGGAGATGGAGAACTTGACTCTGATTTCACTTCAGTTTTATGGCAGTGTAATTCCAAAGAAGTAATGAGCAGTATTGCTGATCAACACTAGCATGAGACTTAGGCATTGTTTCATGCAGTTTTGCTAGACAGGCTGGCTATCCTACCTGCTATATGAAGGCTGCTTTATCCACTTATATCCATCTGAACACTGTCCTCACCTTTTTGGAAGGGGAGTTGGCAAAAGGGAATCTTTGCTATAATCCTTTTAGGAAGAGGGCAAAATGTAATTTTGGAGTCTTGTTTGAATTTAGCTCTTTTATGACTGTGTAGAAGGGGTCTTGAACTTAAAATGCTGGGGCCATTTGATCTTGCCTTATAGTAATTTACGCCAATGGAAATGGTGCATATGGGGCCCATGTATGTCCAAGAAGACATCCCACTGCCAGGACTTCCCACTACTTCTCTGTTTCCAAATTTTCAGACCTGTTGGAAGACTGGTGGGCCAGATGGCATGGCTCTGGTCTAGGGGCTGAGTAGCCCTGTTTTGAACTATGAATAGTTTAAAACTTTACACCTTTTGCTAACTGCCTTAACTTTCCCAAGTGTCTGAAAAGCCCTCAGTTTTGAAAATTCATTTGTTTTTCTTAAAGTACAATGAGTAACTTCATTGCAGATAAAGACAGCATTACAGTAACCCAGTTACTGAGAGCTGCTTCCATCATAAACAGAAGGAGAAGAGATAGAAAGTACCTGTTGTTGAACACAAACACACTGGGAGAGTATCTTACTCACAGTGTTCCTCCTCATGCCAATGACAACCCATATTGCAATTAAGATACCAAGGACCAAGAATTATCATGAAATTGAACTATATCTGTCTTTTTTGGAGGTGAGAGAATGTTAAATGATTTTTCAGGATATCATTAATGATGATTACAAGATAAATACACAATGAAGTAGCTGTGGTTATGCTTCACTCTTCAGCTAATTACTTATGGAAACAATTAACATATTACTACATTACATACCCTCTTGGAAGTCCACCTTCTGAAGCCCTTCGTTTGAGGTTTAATTTATGCATCTCAGCCATTTCCTTTAGTGTCTCTGCTGAGTAAAGGCCAATAGGGTTGTTATACTGCCTTGCGGGGCTCAGCTCGTGTTTAGAACTACAGCCATCAGTGAACACAGGGCTTTGTTTTGAACTTAGATTACTCTTTGGAGGTGAAATGTCAGGTGTCACTGATTGAGAAGACATGGAAGTTCTAACTGCAGTAGTCTTTAAGAAGGAATAACTATTTGAATAGCTGATTTCTTGCTTGCTGAGGTAGCCTGAAAGTGTTTCATCAGTTGCTAAAATAGTATTCAAAGGCCCAGTGGCTGTGTTAGTTAGAAGACTGAACGTTGTTCTGCTGTCATTGATTTCCGAAGCAGGGTCCTGTAGTAGCAAACATGCAGGTGAAGAAAAGAAAAAAAGAAAATAGCAATCATGCAAAAATAATATATTACATCTATTGCTTTTGACACATTCATACAATTAGTGGCCTTCATAGCAAGTCTTTCAATGAAGGAGAATATATAGTTCATCTCCCAATAAGACAGAGCTACACACTCAGGCATTCTTTATTTTTTTAGTTAAAATGTACAAGTTATATTGACTAATAGCAGAAGCTCTTCAGACATTAAATAGCCATAATTTGAAAATAGGGCTATAGCTTCTATTCATTCTATGGATAATTAAGAAAACATTTGAATGTTTTGAAGTCAGTCCCAAATGAGGCAACAATATAAAATTACAAAACTCTATATTATTACTTTAGACATATAAGGTTTTACGTTTCGCAGATCATGCCATTCAATTTTTAATGTATTGCCTTCAAGTTATTGAAGTCCATATGCTGCAATGCTTTCACAGACTCCAGTTCATGCTAATTAGGCCATGCAACAAGGTTAGCAAGTAAGGTAGAAAAACTTAAGAGAATGTATAAATCAATAGAAATGGCTCCTCTTTTATGCTTGTGCATAATTTCCACTTGTATGTATGGAAGTTATACATTCACAAGGCGCAAAGCATGACACTGTGCCCTAGGCATGTGATCGAACACTTGTGATTCAGAAAATACTCCTAGCTAAAACACTATGGCATGTTATTTTGGTAGGGATCATTGGAAGCACACCCAATAATAAATACATGTGCAAGACCTCATGCTGGTCCTTCATATTGGGCACACATGGTATCTTTCAAAAACACTCTGGAAAACAGGAAATTATGCCTTTTGTTAAATATGATTTCAATACTCTTTTTTTTACTAATGCAACTTTGTACATAATAAATACACTTAATGTTAAAAATAAAAAACACAGTTTGACATTCTCAGCAACACATGACAGATGATAATATCTTGTTAGGAGAACTGAACATAAACTGGGAAAAGATGTCTCACTACATTATCCTATTTTTAAGTATTTTCATTCAAAACTTTCAAGCTAGTGCTTGCTAGAACCTATATTGTTGCCTGTGCCCCTTCAATGCAAATTTACCATTATGGAACTCCACCTAAGTTAACGGGTGATAGGTGCACTTGGCACCACTTCTGATATCTCCTGCATCTCCATCAAGCCTTCCTGATCACAGAGAAAAACTTGAAAATGGAAAATAGAAACATACATTATTTTATAGATCTCATCATTTGGAGGTCTGACTGCCAATTTCTGAATGTATGAAATTGACAATGCTGGAATCGTCTTACCATAGGACAGGCCAAAGGCCTCCTTTGACTATTGAGAGGATGTTAAATTTCATATTTAGTCAAAATAAGCTCCTAGACAAAGAGGCAACACATGTTTACAGATGTTTATGGATTATTTTAGTACATATGTAACTATGTTTAGTACATAGAAGTTTAGTACAATATGTCACTTTGCAATTTATCCCAGAAGCCTGAGCCCAGAGTTATAACTTGCCTCTGATGTAGGGTGGTAGAAGGAGCATTTTTCCCCACCCCACCCCTAAACACATAGCAGCTGTAATTAATAGCAAAATGCTTGGAAATGCAAGACTTCCAATCAGCATTTCTGCCAGTCCTCAAAATTTGATTAGGTGCATCTAAGATGCCCTATAACCCCCAATTTTAGCACAGTAAAAGTCACTATTTCTGGACTAACTTCCACGATCTCTCCATACAGTTGAAAGATCAAAGGCTAAATCTTTCCAAGGTACAGGAGACCCAGTTCAGTAGGCACCCCTAGGAGATTCTGCCTTATACCAAATTCTGCTGGATTGCAGGGCTACAGTTAGACATCACAATGATTCTTATGAGGTTGCCAAGGATGAAAGACCTGAGCAGAATTTGGCCTTCAAGGGCACATCCAGACAAGTGCACACATGCCTCTTACAGTGTCTCAAATGCTGCAAGAGGCATGTGAGGGAACAAAAAAACATTTCCTGCACTACAAATTTGCAGTGCGGGGGCAAAATTAGATGTGTGCAGCTCAGTTTGGTGGGGTACCCTGCACTGTCTCGCAACTCTGGGCTGCTTGGGCTGAGCGGTGCCAAGCCCCGGGTGACAACCGCAGCACCACTGAACTGCCAGACAGTGCATGGCGCCCTGCTATGCTGGGCAACACCCAGTCTATGTAGCAACTGCAGCACAGGTGCCAGGTGGCCAGGGCTTAGCCCCACTGCTCCCTGCTGCAGGGGTGGGGAAGCTGTGTTATGAGGCCCCAAGTGGCCCCAAGTGTTGCTGCTGTTGCTGGTAAGCTGCTGGCAGTTCAGGAGGCTGGAGCTGGGTGGGGGAGTGAAGATGGGGCAGAAGCCGAGTGGGAGAGCAATCAGGAGGCTGGAGCTGATGTATAGAACCCCTGAATTGTCTCCAGCCTCCTGATTGCTCCCCATTTTGGCTCCATCCTTCTGATCATTCTGCTCATCTCCAGCCTCCAAAGACTGCAGACAAGCAGGAGAATGAGCAGGAGGCTGAAGACATTCCTCTGCTCTTCTCCAGCTTCCTGCTCACCTCCAGCCTCCTGAGGCTGGAGATAAGCAGGGGAACAAGTAGGGGGCTGGAGACAAGCAGGGGAATGAGCAGGGGCTGGAGATGACTGCAGGTCTAGGGCTGGGGGGCACTCTGGGCCCTGGTGGGGGGAGTGGGGCTGGGACCCTGTAGGCAGGGCAGTCCATGCGCTGTATGGGGGCTGTGCCCTGTGAGGGGAAGGGGACCCACCCCTCCTAAGCAGCTCCTCCCACACAGTCCTCCCACACACTTTCCCACCTCCCTCCACACCCACCCACATCCCCCCATCACACACCAACCATGTAATAAGGAAACCAAAAGCAAACATTAAAACATAAAGATATTTAGGATTCATTTTAATATGATGAGAGAGAGACTGGTAGGCTTCCAAATTGCTTTAACATTGTAAATATAGCAAGCATGATGGATTGTGTGGCACACGAACATGTAGAGGTGGCAGCAATGTACAGTGTAAAAGCGGACCGGTCTGGTGTCCTCCAGCCAGCTTAGGTGGTAGAGCAGGGAGCTCCGTGAGACCAGGCAAGGTGCCAGCCCCATGAAAAACTTTGGTGGGCTGAAGGACATAGGGAGGGTGAACAGGACCTGATCAACAAAGGCAAGGGTGTTGGGAGGTAGGGCAGATTTCACCTTTTGGACCAGACAGCAGGTCGCACGTGTCTTCAGTAGACTCATGTGCTGAGCACAGCAGAGTCCACCCACTCCTGCCAATCATAGTTCAGGAGGTCTCTCATATGGGGGACACCAGCCAAGATCAACCTTTGTCACAACTGGGCCATCTCTGCCATCGGCACCTCCAGCTGGGGGTTTCAGAGTAGGGGCTCAACGAGCAGATCAGCACCCTGGGTGACTGTTGCGGGGGACCTGCAAGTGAAGACCAGCCTCCAGGCCCAGAGGAGGTCCTGGTAGAACTCTGGCAGCCCTCGCAGATCCTGTAGGGAGAAGCTCCACAGGCTGAGGAGCTGCCAGTAGTGGTGGAGGAGGGCATGCCCCAGGTGGCCCCATGCTGCATGGCTACTGACACTGTATAGCAGTCACTGAAGGGCCTGAATGTCAGGACCTGGCTGCAGAGGCAAACCAAGCCCTGGCTGCCCTCCCACAAGGGGAGGCTCAGGACATCTGCAGCAACCCAGTGCTGTCCTGGCCAGAAAAACTCCAGTGCTCATCTTTGGAGCCCTGCCAGACATCAGGGGGCACAGGCAGGGTGTGTAAGGGGTGCCAGAGCATGGACAGGACCAGCTGGTTCAGCACCAGCACTCTCCCATGCAGGGACAGACACCTCAGGTGCCCTGTCCATGCCCAGAGCCTCTCCACCACCCTTGCCTCCAGCTGGTGCCAGTTCTCTGGAGGGGAGAGGTCTGTGAGGGACAGGTAGACTGCCAAGTAGAGCAGCGACCCCACACTCCAGCAGATCCCATGGAGCATGGGTGCAAGTGAGCCCACCTGCCACCAGTCATTCACTGTCAGGCCAAAGCTCTTGACCCAGTTGACCTGCGCAGAGGAGGCTGCTGAGTACAATGCCTGGCAGGCCTCCATCTGCAGCAGGTCACCTGAGTCCTGGACCACGAGGAGTATGTCATCAGCATACACTGACAGGACCAGCCACACCACCAGCTCCTGGAGCATCAACCTCACCATCTGCTTCCATGGGAGAACGAGGAAGGGCTCCAGGGCCAAGGTGTACAGCTGGTCTGACAGCAGGCAGCCTTGATGCAGCCCTCTCCTGAATGGGATGGGCTTCATCAGGGTCCAGTTGAGCTTGACCAAACACTCTGAGGTGTACAGCACCTAGAGAGCCTGCACAAAGTGGGGCCTGAAGCCAAAGGCCCGCAGCATGCCTGTGAGGTACCCGTGATCCACTCTGACAAATACCGTCTCCTGGTCCAGGGTCAGAAGACATAAAATGAATATCTTTCCAGTGTACGGGACACATCATACTTGGTGATTGAGGTCAATGGCATTACAAAAGAAGGTCAGTTTAACAGTGGAGAAGAGCCTCAGTGCAAGTAACTAATATTTCATTTTCATCAACAGTAGACAGTGTTAACTAAGCAGTAAATTGTAATCTTGGAGGCACATTCACACATGCAAGCTTGTGCGCTTGCAGCAGCTCAAATAGAAGCAGTGCAAATTTGAGCCAGGGCTTTTTGCCTCAGTGCACATGCCCAGACATGCACTTTGGTGTGGGGCAAATTGTGCGACTTGGGGCAAAATAACCCTGGCTGGCTCTTCCTGGATCTGTAGCCAGGGGAGCTAGAGCCTGGAACCACCACCTGTCCTGGCCCCAGCAATATAAAAATCTGCCCTGGCCAGCAGCTCAGGGCTACGTGCCCTCAGGAGCTTCTGGAAAGAAGTTGGCCATGCCCCTTCCTGTCCCAGGCTGCTGCTGTTGCTGCAAGCTTGGTCTTGA